AGTGCCATCTATTGGTCATTTCTATGAATGATAAAGTGTAAAGTTAAGGTTAACGGTTGAACTTTATTGAGTCTTTTCTATAATAATTTTTTTAAACAAACGACTACGGCATCATATTCAGAAATATAATATAAATAATATAATTATTAATAATCATTAATAATATCATTGTTAATAAAATGACCTGTCTAGCATTTAAACCAATATATTGTCCAATATTAAATATATTGTCACCTTTATTTTTATCTAGTGTTTGTTTAACAGTCAATGTAACTTTTTAACTTTTCTCTTCTTTCCATCAGACTGTCACAGTTCTTACATTTGCTTCTTTATTGATCCCTGATATTGGATCAATAAAGTTTAAATTATTTTTGTTATTATTAAATTGTAGCTGTCAGTTAGCAATCAAGCTAGCTCCTGTTAGCCTCAGCTCCAGACTGCTGTGTTAGCCTTTCTGTAGCATCAGTATCTGCTCTGTTATTGTTGGCAGCAGTGATTGATTTACTTATCAGTGAAAGTTCAGTGTCATCAGTAAATGATTGATTAAAGGCTGGTGTTTGGTCCGACTCATTACACTGAGCTAGTTTTATCAAAGTTATTAAAAAGTTACTTTAGTTAGGTCTCAGTAAATTCATGATTTTTTAAGCGTATTCTTCGTCTCTGATTTGTCGCTCATCGTTCAAACCCTGACGTGAAGGAGACAAAACCAAAGTCCAATCGGCTGAGATCACATCTTGATGTTTATTCCATAAATAAAAGTAAAAATTTTATAATAAGAAAACACCCCACATGATTAGACCCCCCCCACCCCCCACCCCAGCTTGGATGCCTGCCTCTCTCTTCCTCCCACTCTGCTGCATCACTTCTCCTCTTCCTGGTTTGGCACTGGAAGGCAGGCATCCAAACTTCAGTTTTTATTTTTACCCCATGTGGCAAAAGAACCCACCCACCCACACCCTCTTCCCCTGATGCCATGTACCCTCACAGCACCCCCTGGGGGCTCAACAGCCCCCTGTTCTGAGGACAAAGAAGACACAGAAATACTGTGGTAATCAAAACAAAGTGCTTTTTGCTGTGGCATCTCAGCTGGGTTTCTTCATGTGCTCTGAAGTCAAGGTGTGGCGTCGCCTTTCCTCTCCTGCTCGATGGCTGAAAGAGAAGAGCAGAGCGTCACGTCACGTTGGTCAGCACGCCGCGTTCACATCAGCACGCCGCGTTCACATCAGCACGCCGCGTCCACAGACGCTGCCTTCAGCAGCAGCGTGCTGATGCTGCAGCCACGTGTTTTCTTTTTCTGCAATTCTGCTTGGCAGTGAGGTGGTGTGCAGAGAGCGAGTGTGACAACAACAGAAAGACCTGCAGGGGGGGTGGGAGAGTGGGAGGAGGGTGTGTGTGGGGGGGGGGTCTCAGGGACACTCACTCTCTTTGGTTGGCAGAGGGTTTTTCTCTTTCGTCTCTGTCTTCTTCAGCTTTGTCTTGTCAAAGCGGGAGATTTCAGTCAGGTCGGGCTTGTCAGACATTTTAGCTGTGGATAATACAGACAAGAGACCTCTGTCATATTAGTAAGGCAGTATAAAAACCCACTGAGCCACACTAAGGTATGATGAAGTTGATGTTGATGATGTGAGGTGAGGGGGGGGGGGTCAGGAATCCAGAGGGCAGTGAGACGTGGTGAGAACCAAGAACACAGAAAGGGAGTGGCTAACTGTAGACGCCCCCATGTGGACATGTCTGGGTCCACATGGGGGCGGCGGCTGCCTCTCATACATGCTCTCTCACTCGTATTCTCAACTAAACCCGTCGACCTCGATGGTTTTTTTTTCTTTATAATGCGGACATCTTGGTCCTCGTCCTCCGTCGCCCCCTCTCTAATTTTCTCTGCCTCTGCGCCTGCAGCCGTTGGACGAGCTGCTGCTCCATTAGCTTCTCTGCAGTCATAACTCTAACCTACAGCCTGAGGTCTGACTGCTCTGTCTGTGAGGGTCTGAACCCACAACAGGCAGCAGCTGCAGTGGGTTCTAACATCAACTGTCTGCTCTGACACGGAGGACGTCAGGACGAGCTCATCACAGGAAACCTCACATTTTTACAGAATCACCGTCTCCATCACCTACAGATGTTTCTTCTCTCCTTGACGTCAATGATGGCAGTCACACTCTCACCACACTTAGGTTAGAAAAGCTAGTTATCCAGATGTCTGTCTATTGTGTCTGTCATCATCATCTTCATCATCCTCATCTTCCTCAGTCCTCTCCTTTCACAGCGTTCCTCTACAGCAGCCTCCAGGTTCTGCTCCTGCAGCCACACCCCATCCTTTGTCTGGCTCTTAGTAAAAACACCAGCCGCTGACGATGGACACAAACACACAGACGGAGAACAGACAGAAGGACAGGAGAGGGTTCTTACCAGGGTTCCACACGCAGTGGCCGAACGTCCACCAGAGGAGAGAGAGCAGGCAGGGGCGAGGAGACAAAGATGGAGGAGACAGAGCCACGCAGACGCTGAGTTAATCTGCCGGTGTGAGCACGCCTGTCTGCATCCAGGGTGTGGGTATAAGGGGGAGGGAGGGGGGAGGGCAGAGAGAGAGGGAGAGAGAGAGAGAGAGAGAGAGAGGGAGTTCCAGAGAGCTTGGTCAGCCTCCCTCTTTGTCATCAATATTAAGGTTATCCAAAGATGGAAGTCATTCCCAGACTGTGTTGGTCAGTCAGTGGATATACATTTAACCCTGAAGAGTCTGCCGCCCTGGTGGTTCAACATATGGTGACATGGTTGTGTAAATGAAAAACCACTGACGGGACAAAAATAACTGAGAATCTCAACAGGAAGTCCTGTCAGTGTCGTTCACACGTTCAAATAATGAAGACTGTTCTGGAAACACACACAGACTGATGTAGACTGCCTCAGTGGTCGATGACTAATGGAGTAAATGTCATAACTGTAGTTGGTATGGGTGGACAGAGTGGGGGGGGGGGTGTACATTATTGATCCCATTATGGGTTAATGTTGCAGTAACAGTCAAAGCCACTATAGACACAATATAAAATATAAATGTAAAAATATAAATATACCGTGTATATATATATAGAGAGAGAGACTGTGTAAAAATAACAGGATGATATTAAAATATAAATATTAACCTAAAATCCAGTCTTATCTCACAATGCAACAGTATATGTCAGACTATAGACCGACTCGTTCTAGAAGGTTCTCTGTGATCGTCAGCCACAGCAGTGAAGTATCTGATGAAGTAGTAACACTAGTACGGACCGTGTGTCACAGGAGTGACGTCACTAACTGATCAGCTGACGCCCTATATCTCTGTCGGTCTGTAACTGTAACTGTAACCTCCCTCAGTAACACAGTGACGACGACTTCAGCCTCAACTCACTTCTGGAAATGATGCAGTGACTCAGGCGGGTATAGAACCATGATGGCTTCCGGCCCGCGCATGCTCCGTAGGTGACTTCATTTTCCTGGATGACTCTGACTTTTACTGGACCGCATCCACGTGATTATGAGGTCATTCCGTCTGCTGTGACACTAGACAACACCTCCACCTACTGGCCATACATTGGCACTGCATTACCGTAGAGATTACTGACATCAGTGTTGGTCCGTGTCCAGAGGCCCAGTCCTTCACCCCCCCCCCCCCCCCCCCCCGTCTCCCACCTCGACATCAAAAAAGTCGTTGTCAAAATTAAGCAGCTTTATTTGACACAGGAGAAGAATGAGAGGAGGAGAGAAATGAAATACAGAATCGTCTTCGTTCAGCTGCTGGTTCCCCTGTTCCCGCTGCTGCTGCTGCTGCTGAGATAATGGTCTTTGACCTTCTCCACATTTCAGCCGACTCCTCCTATTAACCTTTGTGTTTGGAGTGTTAGCACATGTGAAGCGTGGAGACTGACGGGCACTGACAAAGGTCAGAGCCGCAGCTGAACGAGCTGTCAGGGAGAAATGGACCGTGAGTTCGGTGTCTGTGGACGGTGATAGAGGAGTAGATCAAGTCGGTGCTGCTAATGACTGACATCCACCATACATCTAGATATGGACTAACACGGCAGAACGCAACAACCAACCACAGGGGGGCAGCATTTCACATTTTCTGCCTTTCTTGTCTGAAGAAAGGCTGAAACAACCCCACCTCGAACCGCGGCCACACTGTAACTGCCCCTCGTCGTTGTTTTTATTATTTCACACACAAATAGAAACGACTTCTATTGGAGCAGAGCATCAGTTTAGATTCACTAAGATTTTGCTCGTGCACAGAGAAGGGTCATGTTGTGAACACAAGGTGGCAGCACTTGATTGTGTTAAGTTTTCCAGAGACTCGTTTTAAGATGGAGAGAGTATCAGAAATCACCAGGGGGTCGTTACGTCTCAGCACCAGCTGAACAAGTACAGTTAGTCCCTGATGTAACAACAACAACAACCGTAAAACACCAGCTGGTTTCATTTGACCACTTCCGGTTTTAGTCTGTTGTTTGACAGTGTCGTCCACACAGTGTATAGTGTCGTTAATAAAAGACATTATTGACGTTTATATGACATAAAAAACAGTGTAAATACTCTGATCAGTACTAACTCTGTGAAGATCAATGTGGTGATTCATTCTGATTAAGATGATTCTTTTCTTCTTCTTCATTTTTGGATGGTTGTTTATTAAATAATGATGAGTTCCTGGTTGAGTTAATTATGTATCTTTCCCGTGTAAACACGAGGTAATCCTGAATTTAAACAGAATGAAATGTTGTTGTTTTGTTTTTTTTTTAGCAAATCCCAAAGTCTCAGATCTGAAAAAAAAAATACAGATTTTCACACTATTTTCTCTTTGAGTAGAACGTTATGCTGAACAACTTAACCTGTAAATTTAGCTGAACTGTGATGTTAACTGTGAGGCTGTAATTATAAAAATGATTCAGTAATTATCTGCAGAAGTGAACCTGGCTGACATGAGTTTGATTGATTAAATTACAGATTCCTCATCTAAACAAACAACATGGAGGGTATGTTGGCTTCAGGTACCCCCACCACCACCACCATGCGTTTAGTGGATATGCTAACTAAGCTAACCAGCTACACTGACAGCTTCTACCCACAGAAGTGGATTTCAGCATTTTGTTAACATTTGACTCCAGGCAATGAAATAAAATTGAGAACAAATGTCAAACGTTTCCTGTCAAGTTTCACTTTTATTAGTCAGGTTGGTCATGTGACACACACACACACACACACACACCACCACCACCACCACCAGACAGTGTGTGCAGCCTGTGTTCATTCCCTCCACCTGCTGTGTCGGCAGATAAATTTAGGAGTTGTTAGTAGACATTGGTAATCAATAAGAAGAAGTGGGGTTAACGTGTAATTGCCCTCATTTACATTGATTAAATACTGAGGATGGCTGTGCAGGAGGTTCACGTAGGCTCTGTTTTATCTTTGTTAACAGACTACGTTGTCTTTTAAATTTTGTTATGTATTAATAAAAAAATCTTTTTAACAAAACACTGATGTGTGAACAGACACTGTTGGTGAGAGAACGTCTGCAGACCAGGACCAGGACCAGGACCAGATAAGGACAGTCCACCTATTCACCATCTTCTCCTTCAGTGATGTGAGTTTGAGTCGCGGCCCGTGTTCCATTGTTGGACCAATGAACTGAGAGTGTCTGGGTGTGGAGCAGTTATCTTAGCGAGCCAGCTGGAGGACAGTGACAGAGATGGAAAAGGAGGCAGGAGAAGGAGATGGAGAAGGAGATGAGGTGTGAACCAAGAGGGGTAGAGTGGGGGAGGGTGAGAGAGGGAGTAAGAGGGAGATGGGAGATTAGAGCAGAACTGCTACGAACGCTGAACATCCCTGTAATCCACAGTATCAGACGTCAGACAGTGGAGACAATCTGTCTTTGACTTCTGTCCGTCTCCAAGAATCCACACCTTTAGAAAGAACCTGAAAGAAAATCACCTCCTCTTATCTCCTCGTTAGTGTTCTCAAATAAAACCTTAGATTATATTAGATTAGATTAGTTTAAAACATTGCAACAAGAGAACGGAGGTGGAATTGACAGTAGAATAAAAAAAAACACAATACTATTAAAAAATATATACAAATATAAAAAAAACCCACTAAAATACAAGGAATGTGAAGAACTATATCTTCCATATTTACAGGAGAAAAGTAATGTTCTATTCTTCTTTATAGCTGCAGGTGTTGCTTGGTTATTTGCAGCAGCAGGTATTATAATGGTTATGATACTGTGTGAAATGTTTACACCTTTATAATTGTGGTTTATTGTGATCAGTTCTGCAGCATCTGTAAAAGGGAGGTGGTTTTCAAATGTAAAACTATTTTTAAATTACTTTTACAACATTTAAACAAACTGTTCATGTTGAAAAAAAAATTATCATTTTTAACCATTTTTCTAAGCTGTCCCTTAGATTATGCCCCCTGGTTAGCTACCTGGTTAGCTAACCAGTTAGCCCCGTGTGTATTTGAAATATTTAACAGAATAGTTATAAAAAGTTACATGTTTGACATCATTCTTATAAATGAACATTGTCTTCAACACCAACCCCTCATTGACTTGACATTGACTGGCCCGCAGTTTGTCGGTACAAGAACATCACGAACAAACTAATTTTCCTGTGCGTTTTTCAGTAACGCCGTCAATCAAACGGTGGTTTCCCATCATTAACAGTTTGTCCAATTAACATGCAGATGCGTAGTAATTTTTTTAAAATTATTTTTATTTTGCGTCATTTATTCAATCACTGTTTAACCTCACAAGGAACAATGAGTATGGGGCGGAACGGTTCGGCTGCTCTAGTGGTTCCGGGGACAGGAAATAGGCGTTGAACGACTCCACCAGTGTCACCAGGTGTTCAGCGTGTATCGTGTTTGTTCAATAGTTTTTCTCCGTGTTTTATGTAAATCAATAACTCCAACAATAATTCAACCCCTTCTCTTCAATGCGAGGTTAATTGATCAGCAGCGGGTTAGTCGTACACGCCGCACTTCATGACGTTTCTCACGTTTTTTAACAGCCAATCAACACATGACATAACACTTCGTGAGTCGTGGAGTAAATGTATAATAATAAAAATAATGAACACTGTTTAGCGTGTTTTTTAAGTAAAAGGAAACAATATTCATAGAGGTGTGTGTGGTCATTCTCTTTATTCTAGGTCTAGGACAACTTCTTGCCGTTGTTGCGTCACCTCAACATTTACCTGGCAACCCGGAACCCCCCTCCAATCAGAGACAATTAAGGAAGTTGAACGCAGCTTGATGACGTTTTTCCTCTTCCGTCGGAGTCCCCCAGGTCAGTGAAGCTACCCTGGGACGGGCTGAGGACTTACACGATGTCGGTGTCGTTTTGACATTGTTTTAAAAGTGTTTTATGAGTAAAAACATGTTTGAAAAGTAGACGGGATTCTCTCGCGTCGACGCCTATTATTGATTACTGATTGATTACTTTGCGGATCACACGCGCGTTCCCGTGGCTTTTACGTCATAGCATTCTCGGTAATTATTTTAAACGCACTAATAAAAGCAGTTTTCTCCAGAATTATGT